ATGTTGTCGTTGAGTTCGGGTTGAACTACGTCTGGTGTTTTGTGTTCTACGTTTCAACTCCAATTTTCAAGAAATTGATGTGACTTGACGCCGAGGCTTTAAAATGCCTCCTTCCCAGGTGTCGTCAGGAGTTCTCTCTAAGGGTTCAATCTGCCTTCTTCTTAGATTGAACTGAGGTCACAGATTAAGTACTTAATCTGTGCTTACCTGATCTGTGCTTAGGTACCGATCGGTGTTCGGTGATATTTATATCGGCGGGAGCTATTGAAGTGGAAATGTGGGGGCGAGTCTTCGGGTGATTACCATTACCGGACTCTTGGTGGGGGCATCGGAAAATTATGGGTTTTCAGGTAGTTGTAAGTCTCTGACCGTCATCTATTTCGTTTAGGTGGAAAGGTCGCTATCTGAGCTTGTAGTGTTCTCACTGTGGCGATGGTCTTAGTGCCGTAAAGTCTATATTGTGTCCTACCTCTGACTTTCGGATAGTTGATGTTCATATACTCTACTTGTCACACGTCTGTTGGTCTGGCCTACATATGTACTAGGGCAATCGGAGCATGGAATTTTATGTATACCTTGGGATTCATTATGTTGTCCTGTTTTTGGAGAATTCGGCCAATTTTGTTAGGAAGAAATGCTTTGTGGAGAGCGTTGTTGTATTTTGGATCTCTGGGACTGGATCGAGAAGTTTGTAGACGACGAATGGATCTGTCAATTTGATGATCTGTTAATCCATTTTGAAGAAGAGCTAATTTGAGTTGAGCCAGCTCTTGTGGTTTGTTATGGCGATCTTTGAGGTTGATTATATCTGTGGATGAGAGAATTCAAGACGGAAAAAAGGTTCCCATTTTAGATAATGAAGCTCAGGATTTATCTATTTTTTTTTCAGTGATTGTAAAACGCGGCCAACTATTGGCATCATCAATATGATGATTGGTTCACAAATTAATGAACGTGACCCCAAATAACAATTATCTTTGAATTCTCAAATGCGAGTGTGAAAGAATCCTTTATTACAGATACATTTCAAAACAGGTGAACTGAGAAGTGAAACAGTTAGTCTGATGTCATTAACAACGTTTCTTGAAAATTCATCCTAAGAGTGAGAACAATTTATGAATCGGCAACATTCTTGGAAAGTTTCATGAACCATTTTTGCCTTTCCGGGTCTACTCTGATCTAGTCGAGTTTAATGGTGACATCTCTCCCGGCAAAGCAATGTTCCTCGCATACACAACCATACATATTTATGAAGAATGCCATATTTTTAATGCGACGTAACATATAATAGTTCTACATGAAGTTATCGTGCAATATCTACTGATTTATCTATTGCATCATTGAATTTTAAAATATTGGATTTTGTGCAATGAAAATACCGCATGTCTATTTATCAAGAATTAATATACATTTCAAATCTTCGATTCAACATTCAAGTCAGGATTTCAGCATGTCTACTGGAAATCAATTAGAAAAACTGTTCACTCATTCATGAACTGCTCATAATTAATTCTATAGATTATGTTTTGATCGGTACTCAAGGTAGAATGGAAAACATCAAGGAAACGGCACGACTTTGATATAAGTACAGTAAACATTTGTAATGGTCATTACTGTTAGTAAACGATTGAAAATTCATAATTATCTTGTTTGGTTGCAGCTGTCGTTGTAACTGATATGCAGATATTGTGATAGTTGTGAGTGAAATTCTTTATTTGATTCAAGATGAACTGGTTGAACTTCTTCTTTATATTGAAAACACAATGTTAATTATTATTCTCAGCAAGCTCACAACTCATACTATGTGATTATTTTTAGGTTGTTCCAAATGAAATTTTGTACTATATATATGATGCTGTTAATTTTCTTCCAAATTTCAGTTTCTTTTCGCCCTCCCCCCCACTATATGATGTCGTTAAGCGATTTTTGACCAGTTTTTTCAACGGATTCAAATTGAACCAAAGCGCTGCAGAAACAGCCCAGAAACATAATAGGGTTAATGAACGCATTGACGTTGGTTTGTAAAATTTCTATTCAGAGATTTTAGCATCGAAGATGAGCCCCGCAGTGGTCAACCTACAGTAATCCAGGACGAGGAATTGAGGACTCTGATGGAGAGTTTCCCATCAAAAACGATGCGTGGAATGGTGGAAGAACTGGGAGGTAGCTCCCATGTGGTTTTTGATGATTCAAAACATATTGGAAACGTCAAAAAGCTTGAAAAGTGGGTGCCTTACGATTTGCAACTCTCATGTTTTGAGGTCAGTTCTTTTTTGCTTTGACGCAGCCAAAACAATCTTTTTTTGCAACGGATTCTCACATGTGACGAAAAGTGGATACTCTAAGACAACAGGAGACATTAAGGCAGTGATTTGACACCGATGAGCCATCCAGGCTCAAGCCTACCTACCAAAAAGATACTATGGTTACTGTATGGTGGACAGCGGCTTTTGCGATTCACTATAACTGTCTGCAACTGGGCCAAACCATCACAGCAGAGTCCTTTTGTGAGAAAATCGACGGAATGTATTAAAAATTGCTTCTGCAGCATCCGGCACGGGTCAACAGAGAGGTCTTGTCCTGCCGCACGACCACCAGTAGAACCGGTAGAAGGCAAATACTGCCTTCGTTGACGACTGATCTCGATAGTTTCCCAGTTTTTACAGCTGCTTCTCTTTTTGTTGTAGAAGAGCCTATGAGAGATGCTGCCATGGTGTCAAAACAAGTGAAATCCCACACCACTGGTAAAATTTCCAGGGAATCAATTACATTCCATCGGGTTGTTTACCATCATCGCGACTGACTCCCAAAGGCTCTAAAGACTGAGGGGGTATTTGGCGTAAACGAAGCTCTTTTTATCAAATAATTTTCAGCACCAAACTTAAACCATTAATACCGGTTTCATCGACTTCAACATCACACATGAATTTATTTTATAGTGAACACAAATTGATGAGCAAAGTCGAAGACCAACAGATATCATGAATGTTCGATCATCAAGAAAATTTCTGAAACCGGGAACTGGTAATGCATTCAGCCAATCACTTTATTTTTTAGTCTTTTGAGTTGTGGATACAGCTGTTTTAATTAAGCAGCATCTCCAAAAGTGATTTCAAAAATGGGCGATCTCAAGCGTTTCAATCCTCTTTAGATTGAAGACCAATAGATATTCTGACTGTTCGATCATCAAGAAGATTCCAAAAACTGGGAGCTGGTGGTAATACAGTCAGCCAATCACCTGATATTTTGAATCTTTTTAGTTATGGATATAGCTGTTTTAGGCATCATCTGTTTTAAAAAAACTGTTTAAAATCTGTTTTTATGTTAATCTCCAAAAGTAATTACAAAAGTGAGCGATTTCAAGCGTTTCAATTCTCTTAAGGTTGAAGACCAATAGATATCCTGAAGGTTCGATCATCAAGAAGATTTTTGAAACTGGGAACTGGTAATGCATTCAGCCAATCACTTGTTTTTTTTTTGAGCCTTTTGAGTTGTGGATACAGCTGTTTTAGGCAGCATCTCCAAAAGTAATTTCAAAAATGACCGATCTCAAGCGTTTCAACTCTCTTCAGGTCAAAGATCAATAGATATCCTGAATGTTCGATCATCAAGAAGATTTCAGAAACTGGGAACTGGTAATGCATTCAGCTAATCACTTGCTTTTTTAAACCTTTTGAGTTGTAGGTACAGCTGTTTTAAGCACCATATCCAAAAGTCATTTCAAAAGTGGGCAAACTCATGCGTTTGAACTCTCTTTACATTGAAGACCAATAGATATCCTGACTGTTCGATCATGGAGAAGATTTCTAAAACTGGGAGCTGGTGGTANATACCAAAGGTTCCAAACAGTGCATCACCATTACATACAGAAGAGTTCCGTGGTGGCTATGGTAGTGGACGGACGTGCTGATAACGTCCGCCAAGGTATGCGGATTCCATGTGCTATCATGGGGCTCCGTTTTGTGTTGTGCTAGTCCATTCTGTTAAATACTGAAATGTGTGAGTGTCTTAAAATAAAGGCCACCCTTTATTCACGCCGGTATCCAGGCAGGGGTGGTTCGGATAACCATGTAAAGGGGGCTGTATATGTGAAAAAAAAACCAAAAGGTCTCCCAAGCAGGAGGCGACTTCATAAAAACCAAATTGTTTTTATTATTCAAAGAATTGCTTTTATGATAAAAAAAAGTTAGAAAAAAATGGGTGGCAGCATTGCTTCGTGTAAGGCCGCTGCGCCCCTCGACGAAGCTCCTCTTAACCAACAGGAGGAGCATTGGTCATATGCGCCTGAAGATAGGAAGTGAAATAGAGAGAGAAATATATACAGAAGTTTTAGAGTCTTCATTAACTATATTATGATAATGTGAAAGTTTCAAAATTACCTATTCATAACATACAATATATCAACGACGTGTCAAAACTTTAGTTTGTGGATCCTGTAAAAATATTTGTTGAAACTTAAACTTTGAATGCTCGATCGCATTGTTATGAACATGAATAATAAAATGTGTTATATATATTTTAACGCTTCAGGTTTCAATATCTATTAAATATAGCGATTAATGTGAAAAAATTATGAGTATATTAAAAAAACAATTTTTAGTTTAATAATGAATCCCCATTATTAATCATTGAATGAACAAGAATGTTTTCAGTCATTATTTTCTATAAATGCATCAGCAAAATTACTAACTCTCATACATTTTGAACAAGTTCAACAAATAAATATTTGCATTTGTTCATTCCACACGGTTATTTCTTCCAATACAGTTGTCTAATATTGGTTGTAATATGAGAATATATTTCAAAATTAAAAAATTCGAAAATCACTTCGAAAGATTAGGTTTCTACTTAGTTCATGCTTAATTAGAATAATCAATGAAATACCGAATTTTGAGGATCATTTTTTCCAAGTTAAAGGTAAAATAATATTTCTCTCAGTATTGAAGCAATGTAAAAACATTTTAGGAAACCCAACTGACGAGAGTTAATTTCAAACTTACCCATGACCCTGCTACCAAAATACAATAAAGTTGAAGCTCAGGTACCGAAATCGTGAAAAATATTCCAGCCATAAGCTGGACAGCTCCACAAATCACGTAAAGTGTACTCCATAATATCTGCAAGGCTGTCCACAATCGTCCACAACTCAGGCACATTACGCCCTGAAACAAACAATATTCTGTAAATATCACTTGAATCTAAGGCAAATTTTTGTATATAAATCATCCCTCATGAAGTTGTTAATTAGTGTCAAGTTGTTTCCTTCATCGGTAGAAATCGTTTTTATCAGCGCATCAATTTTCGAAGTAGACTTAACAATTGGTTGTTTTCAAACTTGAACATATTTCTTATTTTTGAAAAAAAAAGCTTTTTGACTTTTATATTTCCATCTTTATACGAAAAAATTGTGGAAAAGAAAGTAATAGCCCGAAACCTGTTTATTTTTTCGGCAAGAGTTTGTGAAGTACCTAGGCCGGTATTAATCACACCGTTGTTGTCGTTGTAAATATGGAAATCTTGGTAGGTATTGTTTTTGATGAAAGCAATTGATCATTACCATAGCAAAAAAATTACGACTGACAGCTATTTGATGTGAAATTTGTTGGCATTTTCATTTTTTAAAGTTTCCATCGTTTTTTTGCGATGGAAAGCAACAACGATAGTGAGTTTGAAAATATTTCCGACGAAATTAACAATGCAGCAGCTGCTGCTACATCATAAATATTATCAGGTACGAAAACGTTCATGATTTGTTATCGAAATAGATGGATATGAAGAAATGCAAAATTATTATAGAGGATGTAATTTTGGCAAATCTGGCGCAAAAATCCGACCCAGTTAAATCCTCCACCTTGTGGAGCATGTTCTGTATGTTGGAAAGTACCATATTAGTAACAAAAAATGTAAATATAGCCGCTTCCTCGAAGGCTATCGCATTTATTAAAAGGAAGAATTATAGTTATAGAGAAATCAGAAGTCTTGAACAACGAGCAGCTCAACAAATTCATTAGGGAAGCAAATGATGGAAGATGGAACATATCTAATGCTAAATGTTATTTCAACAAAATATTACGACTGCAGGATATAAAAGTATCAACGTAATTCTGCAGCTGTTACGTGTAGACGGAAAGAACTTACAAAAATGTCAATTAATCTAATGAATGAGAAAGAAGACATGTTGCTTGTGAAAATACCAGATCACAAAACACATATTGAGACAAGTTTCGTTGTAATTGGGCAAGAAAACTTGCTGATGTATAGGCAATATTATTCTTTATGGCCATCCCATACTTCACATAACAGATTATTCGTGAATTACAAAAAATGAAAATGTTCTATTCAGCCTTTGGGAATCTCGGATTGAGAATCGCAGAATTTTGAATTAACCCAATCCTAAAAGTTACACAGGCCATGGCATTCGTCGAACTTCAACGACGTTATTTGCTGATGACGGTAAAAACATCACAAATTTGAAGAGACACGGTGGCTGGAAGTCTACCAATGTCGCTGAAAATACAGTGCATTCCATTTAAAACGAGCCACCCTGAATAACTTTTGGTACAATGATTTTCAGGAAAAATAAAAAAAACACGTCAACGATAGGGTACAGGGGGACACATTTTGACATATTCACATTTGATGTTACTTCCTCTATCGCACCTCCAGAGCATGTCACCAATTATTTTTAATAGATCACCCTATATTGTTTGGTACTATTAGATGCTCCGTGATGAGCAGATTTCAACAAAGTATAAAACATATGGTCTGAAGATTTTTTATTTTTCTTGCAAATCATTGTACCAAAAGTTATTCGGAGTGGCTCGTTTTAACTGTATATAGACAATTCGATTACAAACAAAATTATAATTGCCAGGACTATTGAAAAATTATCAGAAGAAAAAATAAATGTGTAACGGAAACTCCTTCTTGTTCAGACTTCAACAAAAGGCATTTAAATATACCAGATATTTAAAAAATAAATACAAATGAGAATCAAAATGTTCGAAATGTTGTTCTACAAAGAAATAGTGTACGCAAAACGGCCAAGAACGGTTTTTTTGGACTCGCAGACTCATGATAATGTACAAATAACATTTATTATGTGATTTTCACTAAACCACAACAAATTTTTATATTCAAAGGCTACCACTATATCTTTATGTTAAATATTTAAAGCCGTACTTCATTACAGAGGTAGTGGAAATATTAACATTTTTTATACAATTTGACCCAACAAATACAATCGAAGTTATTCATTTAATTACCAAGGTTCAACATCTTCATATGGTATGTTATTAATTTCTGTAACAACTGAAACAATCACCAGCATATCTCACCAAACATTATATGATATTGATTTAGAATAAGAATGAAAACTTACCAAAGTATTAGATCTAAAGTCGTCATACGCCTCTAGTTTCCTAGAACTAGTAGTGAGCACTTAGTACACATTATTTGGTATGAATGGAAAATGATTACTGGAGTTTCAATAAGCTCAATACAATTGATAAGGTTGTCAATGGCGTTTTATTTATTTTCAAGGTAAGTAACAAAATTAAAAATAAATTATGCTAATGGACAGATAAGGTATGCAATAAAAATGTTAGAAATGCATAGAAACGTGCCTACAAATATTTGAAAATCAGTTGGCTGATACGTTAACGATGTTAATGTTTCTATCAGATTGTTTTCATGTATTTACGTGAAGAGACTCTTGAGTATTTGGAAAAAAATAGGCGTAAAAAGGACGAATGCATTGGTCGAACATGTTTTATTTTTTCTTAGTTTAAGTATACCTCAAAATTGAATATAATGACTCAATAAACTTTGGATAGGTTTTTTGACAACGGGGTTGGCTTAGTAGTCTTTACCTGTGTGTTAAAAATATAGACACACACACACACACGACAATATGGAATGGTTTTCCTGAAAAACCTTAATTGCCTACAGAAATATAACTTATTTCAAAACAAATCTGTGAAACACTTGAAAGAAAGTCTGAAATACCATTTTCGTATATAACTCTTTCTGGGTGGACTTAGTTACAGATATTCAGTCATTCAAAAAGAGCTTCTGATGTGTTTCCTGATAAAATGGTTTCCCTAGATAACCCCGGGTGTTATGACTTTAAACGCAAAGTTTGTGTATGAAGTGTGACTTTAAACGCAAAGTTTGTGTATGAAGTGTACTTCGGTGTTATGTGATTGGTAAACATGTTTGATGTTCATTTTTCAATCAGGTCTGGAATTTCAGTTTTCCCTAATAGCTCTGTGAATTTTCTGGTTTGATCTAGTCTTGTATCTCTAGTTTTGTTTCATTGATCTAGTCTTTTAAAAGAGAAATGAAACAAACAATAGCACATACATTTTAGATATTTGAAGATTATTTAAACTTGCCTATCATCTGGTTTCACGTACTCCTTTGCAACCTAAAATGTTTTAAGAATTCCTCATCGCATTAATTTACTACTTCTTATACATATATGATTTTGTATTTTCACGAGTTGTTTTCAATGCATTGTGGTATATTCTTCCATAAATGAGGAATCACTCCAAGAACTAAGCAGTGATTCATCAGATTGACAAGAATAATTTCTGGAATCATTAATGAGTTCCTAAAATTCACATTGCTGAATTTCCAAGTCTCAAGCAATATATATTAATATACTATTTCCAAGTCTCAACCAGTGAACAATAATAATACAAAAATTTTCGTCTCTACTATTCGTCTTCTACTATTCGTCTACTATTAAAAATTCTGAAACAGTAGGTATTTATAATCATTATTATTCACGTTATAATTAGATTTTAAAATAAGCGGATAGTATAATTTAAATATAATTTCATAAGAAGGAATGCGGTTGAATATTCTGTGATGATCCGTCCTGTGTTCAAAATCAGTGTTCCTTTGGAGTTAGTGATGAGTGTTCTGGCATTTGAGCTCCTCTCAATTCTCAAACTGAAATGATAGCGTTTTATTGTGTACAGCCAACATAGAATATTGGGAATTATCACTGAAAATCTAGACTTACTACGAAACTTCGAACGTTGCAATTAATTTAGGCAAACCGCATTTTTGACCATCGAGTATAGTCGAAGTAAACAATATTGTGCACATTTGAAGTTGGCGGCACTCTTAAAGCTTAAAAAAATCAATATATAGAAATGAACCGGCTACGAACTAGTCCACGTGGACTGTAGAATTGGCGGTTTGTATTGGATAATTTGCACTAACCAAATTTTATGATCGGCTGCAGAGTCATAAAATTAAATTTGAAGTCATGTTACGGTGACGAATAGAAATCGGGGAATGCGGGGATGGTTATCGCCGTCGTGTTCAGTTCAGAAACTGATGACGATTTGTGTGTTGAAATTCGATATTGTTGCATTTATAATTACTTAAAATTTTTGTTATATGTCTAAAATGTAGCGTCCTTGGATAAGTACCTACTAATAGTAGTTATGAGTGTGATAACACCGCAGACTTTTTCCTGTGTAGTGATTCCAATAGCGATGGTAAACAATGCCAAAAAATGATACCAGTGAAAAAGATTCGGATACATTCAAATATTGAAATGCAGAGAGTATTTTTCAATGCATATAAGAATCTACATCTCAAGTTTGGTTTCGAGCAAAACATACTATTACGAGCAACATCAGATTTGACCAAAATTCCTTTCTCAACTGTACGTTACATAGTCAAAAACAAATCTTATCAACGCAAGATGCGATGTGATACAGTATTACAAAAACCTTCAGATGTTCATGTAATAAAATCATTGAAAAACAATATACGACTATTACAAAAGCAATGAGATTCCTGCAACTGAAATCATAAGGAAGAAATTGAAAACTTCCGGCCATAACATAAGCTGCTGTGACAAAAATCTTCAGCATTGGATAAAGAATCTAGGATTTATGTTTAAAATGATAAATAAACGTCAAGCAGTTATGGAAAGCAAAAGAATAGAGGAATTGAGTAACAAATACTAAGAACAAATAAATAAATACAAAAACAACGGCAAATTTTCTTTTTGGATGAAACTGGGTATGACAGTCACGACACAGTTACTTAAGGGTGGACTGATGGTTCGAGAATGTGTACGCCTAACATGCCTGCAAACACGGGATCGCGACTAATCATTGTGCATTGCGGAGGAAGT